ATGTATAAATTAAGAAAAACAAAAACACCACAATGAGATACCACTTCACTTCCACTAAGATGGCTAAAATCAGAAAAATGGAAAACAAGTGTTGGGAGGATGTGGAGAAATTGGAACCCTCATTCATTGCTGGTGGAATTATAAAATGGTGCAGCCACTGTGGAAAACAGTTTGATGACTCTTCAAAAAGCTAAACATAGAACCACCATATGACCCAGCAATTCCACTCTATAAAAATGGCATGGTGGCAGCATCGTCATCTGACTTCTTCGTCTAACTTAACAAGCAGGGGAAAATCAAGATCATTAGCCCATGGCTGATTCCTATGAAGAGGTTGTCGGATACACATCCTCTCTCCAAACTTTTCACCAATTCTGACACCAGCAGTCCCTCCCACAGCACTCTCTACTCCTCAGCTAGGTTTGATAATTTGTTGCAATGGCATGCAGAACTCACAGACAATACTCACGATTATGGGATTTATTAGGGAAGTTAACAGGTTATAATTCAGGACCAGGAAAGACTCAGGACACAGCTCTTCAGTCAGGACAGCTTCTCAGCCATGCCCACAGGCAGGCCTCTCCCTGGCCCACCGGCGTCTTGGCCCTCGGACCCTTGGCCCCTTGGGCCTCTTGGGCTGTCCTGGCCTCTGCCCTGCCTGGGCAAGTATTACAGAGCTATTTAGCTCGACTGATAAGTGCCCAGAGGCACCTCACTCCACCAGTAAGCTTCAGCCCAAAGGCGCTCATCTCTCTAGCTTCATGGGCTGGGAAGCCTAGCTCCGCTGACAAATGCTCAGAGGCACCCCACTCTGCTAGCAAGCCTCCTTCCCGAAGACACTCAGCTTTCTCACTCCATGGGCTGGGAAGCCCACCATGCCGTCTCCTGCTGGTCTCCTGGTTCTGCTGCTGCCGGTTCTCTGTTGCACTTGTCGTCGCTTCTCATGTCTTGTGCTGTTTCTAGTGTTACAGCTGTCTCCTGGGTCTAGGAGGTGCTCAGCACAGGGACCCTTGGTTCAAAAGACACACTCCACTCCTGGCTCTCTTTCTTCGTGGTAGTGAGTTCCCCCTCCCTGCTCTGGGATTGGCTCTCTTTTAAGCCTAGAGGATGGCAAAACTAACCAATCCCCTCATTAGGGTTCCATACACCTTATTTGCATGGTGTGGGAGTCACAAAGATTATAGCTAGAAGGGCCATATTAAGTAATTCACTGCACCACACACTTCTAGCTATATACCTAAAAGACTCAAAAGCAGG